AATCATTGGAGAAGAAAAGCAGTTTCTGAGTTATGACTTAAAATTTTTTGGCTTAAATTTTTAAGCTTTATCCTCATGGTTGGAGATGGTCTAAGGGGGTGGGGGTGAGCTTAGCTTCATAATGGGTTGGCAATAATGTGGTTCAAATTCACTTTAACGAGAATCGAACCTAGGATCTTTCACTTACAAGTTAGAGGAATATCACTATACCATAGTACTAATTGACATTTATCGACCATTTAATATCTCATCTAATTCAATGTTTGATTCACTCATCGTACGTTGTAACTTCACAAGCAAACACTTCAAAAAAAAAAAAAAAGATAAAAAAGAAAATGCATAATGTGTGCCCAATACCAAATAAAAATAAAAAAGTTATAAAACTTGAACGAAAGCATTTTTAAAATAATTGAAAATGTTTTAAAAAAATATTTTTGAGTTTCAAAAACACTTGAAATGTTGCAAAATGTATAAGTTAAGTGCATCTTGCAGGAAGCATTTTCATGTTTTTTTTTTAAAAAATTTACGTGTATTTTTACTAAAAATTGATCCTAAAATAAATTTCACGAAAGAGCTTTCAATTATTTTTAAAACATTTCTAAAGAAGCTCATAATGTTTTGGATGAAGTCTTTATCTATCGATAAATACGAATGGCCAAGTGTCAGCCATGTGAGATAAGGGTGGGGGTGTGGTTCTGGGTATGAGTGTGTTAAGGTGAAACATGAATAGGAAAAAGGTGTGCGCGTGTGTGTTAGGGTGCAATATGAACAAGAAAATGTCTTTTCACACCACATATTTAAGATACGACATATTTTCACACTTTGTTTTTTGACTGATTTAACCCCCCCTCACCTCTCAGCCCACCATTGAAGGGCCATCCTTATTCCATCCCCTTCCACCTCCTCCTACTTTCTCAACCATTCATTTCATGCCAAATTGATTTAAAGCTCCAGATTTTACCACGTCGCCGATAGCACTCGCCCCTAATTTTCTTGCCTTTACCACCACCACCAAAGCTCAACCCAAGACAGAGATCGAGTCCAGACCCCTTAGGGTTAGAAGAATCCTCAGGAGACATGGCAAAACTCTCTTCCATGAACAATGGCTTAACCAATGACCCACTAGCATAACCTCCTCCACTCTCCATTGAAACAAATGGAAGCTTCCCTCTTTCCACCTCAAATCCAACCAGAAAGCTCATAGGATCAGAACCCAGATGGTGATTTTTATAAACTTTGCAGGTGGAGTGATTGCATAAAAGGGGAGGTGATGTGAAAATTAACTTGACACACAAATTAAACCTTATTGATGACAATTGTAGTATTTATGCAAGTAGGGATCGTTCTAGACCGAGGATTAACTAGGGATGCTAATCAACACAAATAAGACTCAAAAACACTAATAGACTCTATAGACTCAAAACTAACTTAAAACACTCAAAACAGCAACAAACAATAAAAAAGACTCAATTTTAGACCTAACAAGTGATTTTGACGAAAATAAAACTTAACTTGACTCAAAAGACTAAAAGAAAATAGATTTTGACTCAAATAACCAGAGTAAATGAAAGGGAGATTGTTTTTGACGAAATTAAAACTTAAAATATAAACTTTGCATAAAACACTTTGTAAAAACGAATTTGGGTGAATTAAATGGGTGAAAGGCTAGTTAGAGGGTCCTTCTCCACACATGACATATGCAGATAAACCAATTTCCAGTTATTATTCCTTTAGACTATGAATGACAACACCCCAAGTTAATTGCATTGCACAATCAACCATCAGATTTTCCTTATTTCATTGAATTAGATGGAATACGCATCGCAACCAAATTATCTTTCTCAAGTTCCCTACATGAAACACATGATAGAGATACATATCAAAAGTCATTAAGTTCTATGAAAATCATAAGTATTGACAAGACATTCATCACTATGAAACGCATGAGACTCATACCAAGGATTTACTTAACACGATTGTGACTAGCAACCTCCACTACTTGTGAATATAATTGAATAACTATTACGTGAAACTCTCTTATACTCTAGCATCAAATTCATGCATGCAAATTAAGCGTCAACCCTCAACCAACATACATAAACAAGTTTTGAAAACTTAGATAAGCAAATCACATTCAAGACTCAAGAAACAATAACTGGATGTAATCAATTCATATAAAACATATAATCATGTCTTCGAATTCACCTTTAACTAAAAAGAAATTAGTTCCATATGTTCATCATAATTGAAAACCAAGTTAAAGTAAACATTGAACTAAAACTAAGGATATAATACACCTAGAAACACTCCACACTCCAATGGCAGATTTCGAACCCTCCTTGGATGGCAGATTGCACAAGTCTTCTTCTCCTTCCTTCCTTGTTTGCGGCACTAGGGTGATATGGTGTGAATTATGGTATTTGATGGCTGAATGTATGAATGAATGAATGAGTGAATGGATGGATAAAACTTGCGGCAAAGGCTTGTATTTATAGGCTAAGTCTTGTAGAATTTCTGAAGGAAAAGGATTACACAATCCAATGGGAAAAGGACTAGGGTTTTGGACCTTCTAGAAATCAGAAAACCAAAGAGAATATGGAGAGGGTGTGGCATACATTTAGGAGTAGATAAGGGCTTCTAGAAAGAGTATTAGGGCAGATTTCTAGAAGAACTTAGGCTAAAGGGTGCAACACCTTTGTAGGAGAGGGATTACAACTCCCAATCCACCAAGGAATGGCATATATGCGGCACACAAGGGATAAGGTCTCTAGAATCTGAGTTACGTATTTAAATGTATAACTAATCCCTTCTAAATAGCTAGAATTAAGGCACAAATTGATTTGGATAAGATAAGATAGGATAATGCTATATTTAGGAAATGATAAGGTTAGTTAGGATAGGATAAGATAAGGTTGGATAATGTTCCTTATCTCTTGCTCTTTCCTTATCTTCTTTGTATTTGAACTTCTTTCTCTAGATTTGTAGCATTTCCTAGCCTCTCTTGACTTCAATTTCGTCCATCCACCTTGCTCCACTCATAAGCTATCCAATTGATGCCCAAAACTACTCCAAATGGCTCCAAAATGCACTTTCTTGCTCCTTTTGCCATTAGGACCTACAAACATACGAAAATAGCTTAAAAGACTATAATAAGTAGTAATTAACTAACTAAATGCAATGAAACAACATAGCTAAGTAGCATAAATATGCTTCTATCAGGAGGCAAGGTTGCGTATAAGGCAGAAAGGAAGGGGCGAGAAATGCAGCGAATGAGGCCGGAATATTGGGCATTAATGAAACGTGAGGGTTATTGGCAACGTGGCAAAATCTGGAGCTTTAAATCAATTTGGCATGAAATGAACGGCTGAGAAAGTAGGAGGGGATGGAAGGGGATAGAATAAGGAGGGGAGACAATCTTGGTCCACCATTGAAACCCCCAAGTCCAAGTTTTTCATCTTGAAAGCAATACAACGTTGATTCTTATATAATTAGAAGTTAATGATTCTTCTCTAATTTTTTTTTTCTTTTTTAGTGTAGATAATATCGGTTATTTTAAAAAAAAATGATTGTTCTCTAATTAAGTATCTTATATATTTTATGGATAATCGTTTTGAAATTAACGTTTTTAAGAAGTGCTATCGTCAATCGTTCAAATGCGCGTTGAAAGTTACTCAAGGACAGGAACTGTTATTACTTAACGATAATGTTCAATTACATAATATTACTTTTTGTTTGAGTTGTGGTATGGTCAAACAACCAAACAAGCGAACAATTTTTAACTGATGATGTATGTGAGACCACGTCCTATTATCTTTTTTGGTTAAAAAGAGGAAATTCATTAAAAAGAAGAACTAGTACAACAATAAAGGGCCAAAGCAAAAGGTGAGAAATAACCCAAAATAACTAGGGAGGCTCAGACAAGCTTAAGCTTAGCAAAAGAAACAAAAGCAACAAAAACCCCTAAATCTCCAACAACGGAGAGTAACCCGCCGTGCCCAAAGCCACACACAAACCATAAGATTAATCTTGAAGCATCAAACCAAATTAAACCTTCGAGATCCAACGTCCTACAACACCTGCAAAGAGAACCAAAGAAGAAAAAAGGGAGAGTAGAACGGTGGATGTAAAACACCTTTATTACGACGCAAATTGTTCAAACACTTGGTTCAAAATTTTCAACATGCCAATAAAAAAAGTGGATTGTGAGGTTTGAATCCAGAATACTAATTGGGTCAAGCACTTCAAGAATAAACTTATGGGTGAGCAAGAAGTGGGATGCGGGAAAACGTGGCACGTCCCATTAAGGGCTGGTTTGGTATTGCTGTGCTTTGAAAAAAAGCTGCTTCTGCTGTGCTGTGAGAATAAGCAGCTGTGAAATAAAGCAACAGAGTGTTTGGTAAACTTTTTTGTAAAAGTGCTTTTGAAAAAAAAAAAGCAGTATTAGAGTGTTTGGTAAACTTTTATGTAAAACAGATGTGAAAAAAGCTGGTTTTTCAAAGCTAGGTTTTGCAGCTTCTTGTTTTTGGCTTTTTTTCATCCAAAACTGTGAAAAAAAGCTGAAGCTGAGTATTTACCAAACACAAAAACAGCTCCCAGCTTTTTTTTATAGCAGCTTTTTTCAGAATCACCTCAGTACCAAACCAGGTCTAACCTTGTCTCGTAAGTTTTACCTAAAGCTGTTGTGTATTGGAGTAGAAGCAAAAGCTACATGTGCTAAAAACAAGAGGAAGAATAGAAATTTGGAAACTAGGAGAGAGACCCTTGTTCTTTCCTCCATCACCACGCGGTAAATCTAATCACTCTCTCTTTAACTAATGAGAAATTTTTAGTTGTGACGAAAACACAAATGGTACACCATGTGTTTTAATAGAAGTGGTGAGAAATTTTATTTTTTAACTTATTAACTTTTTAGCACATATATTCTACCATTTGTATAGTAACACATGATGCATCACTTCGTGTATCGATCACACTAAAAAAGCTCCTCTCTCTGACCACTTTATAAACTCCTCTATTTCTTGTGGGTATGCATGAATGAAAGAGAAAGAGAGACTCAGTGACTCACTCACTCACACGGCTGGCCTCCGCCTCTCTACGGTTCTCCCACGCCGGCGCTTCCAGATTCTCCGTCTCTAAAATTCTCTCTCGGTACTTTCATCAAACACGTTCAAAACAAAGCACCTCCATGACTCCCTCCCACTTCCTCCTCCCTCATTTTCTCCTCCCCACCTCCTCCTCGTCCTCCTCCTCCACCGCCCTCTGAATCAACTTCCCAATCCAAAACCATCAGCAATGCTAGATCTCAACCTCGGCTTCGTCTCCCGCGACGACGTTTCCATGTCCCAAAACAAGGTTCTCACCACCTCCCCGGTCGAATGCTCCGGAAGCTTCAACTCCTCCTCCAACCTCACCGTCACCGGCGACGACGATGACGATTCCACTACTCTCAACTTCCTTGCTCCGAACGACGACGTATCCGCCAATCACCAAGGCGGTCGGAGGACCATCCAGCTTTTTCCGCTCGCCCAATCCGTAAGCTCTTCTTCGTCGTCGTCGGCGGCTTCTAAAAAGCAGTGGCTGGGACTATCGTCCGGTTCCCGATTGGAGCTTGAGCCGATTTACTATGCTCCCGCGGAGCCGAGGATCGTGCTCCCGCAGCAGGTGAAGAAGAGCCGGAGAGGGCCCAGGTCCCGGAGCTCGCAGTACCGGGGCGTTACGTTTTATCGAAGGACCGGGAGATGGGAATCCCATATTTGGTTAGTGTTTGGTTACGGTGATACTGATGTACTATTACTCTGATTGTGTACTGACTTTGAGTCCTCTCGCTGTCTATTTTTTTTTTTTTTTTTTGTAGGGATTGCGGGAAACAAGTGTACTTGGGTAAGATAAATGAATCAAAATCCACCATTTAATCGTTATTATTATTTTTTTATTTCTGGCGGATTATTTTTAATTTTTGAATATTTTTTAGGAGGATTTGACACTGCCCATGCTGCTGCTAGGTAAGAACTAAGAAGCTCAGAAGTGTTAACAGTAAATATTTCAATGTAAAACTTTGTTTTCAAGCAGTTAATTTTTTGGGTAATTTTTTGGTTGTGGTAAAATGATCTTAGGGCGTATGATCGAGCTGCGATCAAGTTCCGCGGAATTGAGGCTGATATTAATTTCAGTGTCGGTGATTATGAGGATGATATTAAGCAGGTCGATTTTCGGAATGCGTTGTGGATGTAATGTGGAGACTTTTACTGGTTTTGTTTTGTTTCTTTCGATTTGGGATTGATTTTGATTGCAATGCAGATGAGTAATTTTACAAAGGAAGAGTTTGTGCATATCCTGCGCCGCCAGAGTACCGGTTTCTCTAGAGGAAGCTCAAAATTCAGGGGAGTCACACTGCACAAATGCGGCCGCTGGGAAGCTCGTATGGGCCAGTTTCTAGGCAAGAAGTAAGAACCCTTTTCTTTTTCACCGTTCTTATTTGAAGTATCATTTTGTCCCTTATTTTTCGGAACATGGATGTTCATGGTCATTTATGTATGTGGTCTTAAGTGATTATGATCAGTGAACAAGGGAACGATACAAAGAATTGTGTTCATCGAGGACCAAATAAATAGTTGGGACTTGGTTTTATGTAAATTGATTGGATGAATTGGGAAATTGGTTTTCATTGGGTATGGTATTTCATTGCTTGCCTGCAGGTATGTATACCTTGGCCTATTTGATAGCGAGATTGAAGCTGCAAGGTCTTTACGATATTATATAGGCACCATTTTACTCGATATCTAGACTTTGAGATCTTAATGACCTTGGGGTTCACTTAAGTCAGTATAGTGTTGCTCTTTGAAACCAGGGCATACGACAAGGCTGCCATCAAATGCAATGGACGAGAAGCGGTCACCAACTTTGATCGAAGCTCGTATGATGGGGAGATAATGTCTGAGGCCAATAACGAAGGTATTAGTGTTGTTAGAGAACATCAATTTGACAGAAACCAAATCAAACAGTTCTTTTTTGTTTTTGTCAATAAGTATGTATCTAATATCCTCTTGGTACAGGCAGCCACCGGAGTCTTGATCTGAACTTGGGAATTGCTCCGCCTTTGGTTTCTGAAATCCAAAAGGAGAACATGAATTTGAGAAGCTTTCCTTTTCAGCTAGGCTGCAACGACATTCCCGTTCACTTGAGAGCAAGGGTATGTTAAGATCAATTTCTGAATACCCCTATCAGTTCAGTTCGCATTTTATGTTGTGTAGAAATCCGTGATCTTGTATCTATATGTTCGTTGCAACTTAAGCTACTCCGTTTTAAGCAATTCGTTGTTCTCTTTACAGAATGAGATCTCTGTTCCAGCACCCATGAGGTCTCATCTTTCTCATGGCTCAATTGTGGCGTCTAAGGAGCCTCATATAATGAGCAACATGAATTCCAGTTTCTTTCCCATTCATATGGTAATTTTTCGTCACATCTAGTCATTATAACTTTTTATTCGTATATGAAGTTATAAAAACTTAATTCTTCTTCCTTAAGTATTTCTTGTTGACCCTGGCAAATTTTCTTTGATTAATGTACTTGTCACAGTTAAATTTTTATGTTAAATCTTCAGTGAAATATTACTTTTCAGGTTTTCATTTCTTTCTGTTGTTAAACCTTATTGGTCATTTCTTTTTTAATTTGTGGAAGAAGCATCGTAATCTTCCCTAACGCAAATGTGACAAAATTCTTTGTATTTCTTGTTTATTGCCAGTTACTGACAATTCTCATTTTACTTTGTCCGTTAACAATTCAATGTCTCTATTGTTTTCAGGAAAGAGCAACGGAGAAGAGTATGGATGTTAACTCATTTCCCAATTGGGCGTGGCAAGTCCAAGGCTCCATGCCACTCTTCTCTGCTGCAGCATCATCAGGATTCCCCTCTTCAACAGCCACTTCATCGTCATCAGCTGTCACTCAACTTCATTTCCCTAACACGGCCATTCTCCGCCACCATTTTTCACCGTCATTCACCAACAACATCCCCCATTTCTATTGCAGAAGCTGAAAACAAGAAGCAGGTCATGATAGGTTAGTATTTTAGTGTAGATTGTAGAATGTAGTTTCGGACCCTTTAGGGAGGCAAGCTAACAAGGAATGAGAAAAGTAAGTTTAGTTGTCAACTTTATTTTGCTTGCATTATGTAAAGCTTATGAAATCGAGCATCTCGGTCTAATGGCATGGAAACACTGCAGTATCTTTGCCTTCGGCCAGCGAATATCATAGACTTCCGGTCACACATTGTTCTCTATGCTTCATTTGGGGCGCCGAAACGCAGTTGGAGCAAAGTGTGATTTTGGCAGCTTAGAATAAAAATTCAAATCTTGTTTTACTTATGAAGCGTTTATACTTTGTAGTAACTTTAGCATGAGTGCTAATATGTTTCTGATATCCCAGATTGGTCCTTGTTTACAAACTTTGTGTATGTATTACGAGTTAGCAAGCCCTTTGCATTTAAGTTCGAAGTTATTTTTCCGTAATATAAAGATTAGTAAAGGATGTATCATCACCTGTACAAAAAAAATATGTATTAGTACGGAATTTAGCGATATTAAAATTCAAACATATGTTCAATTTGAAACTGATTTAAAAGTATGAGGAAGAGATTTATGTTGGTAATCCATATCTGTGCAGGGGGATTCAAACACCAAAGTAAAAGGTAAAGTAAAAAGTATCCGCGTTCCTGGGCTTTAAGGCTGAAGAGGTGGTGATACTCTATCTGCCTGCAGGCCCTGCACTGCAAAAAGGGGAACAAAGGACCGAAAGAATCCTCGTCCAGTCTGTAAAATTAAAAGAACAAAACCAGAGAGTAAGATAATAATATTGATATGGTGTGATTATTTTGTGTCATTTAGTGCTTGTGATTAACGAGCAGCATGAAAAGCCTGTTGTACTTTTATACGTCTCCAATACTAAAACTGTAAAACCATTATCATGAACCCAGAGAGTCCCCAGTCTGAACCACCGCCGGGCACCAGCCTTTTCGACTTACCTGCCCTTTATATTATTAAGAGGTCAACTTTAGTCAAATTCAAATTTTCTAACAAGTTTAAGAACAATACTCTTAAACTTTTAGTTCAGAACCAAAATCGTAAAATGGTGGATTGTATTAGTGATTGAGGCATTCCTCAATCTATTATGTCCCGAATTCAAACCTTCTCCTTCAACGTAATAAGAATACTGGTTATGTTCAAAAGTAATTCAAAACTAATAAAGGGTGGTTATAGTACCCTCGTTTCCACCCTCTGCATTCCTTATTTTGTTTTCTTCAAGCATTTGAATTGATAAATTAAAGGAGCGTATCTGATTTATGGGTATCAAACTCTTATTTTAAGTAGAAAGTGCCAAAGTTGTAAGCCTTTTTATGCAAATATCTTTTTCTCAGCTACTTTTAAGATCTCTCTCTCTCTCTCTCTCTCTCTCTCTCTCTCTGTTTCTCTGTTTCTCTGCAAACTTGTAGGGGTTAATAGGAAAGGACAGGATAGGATAGGGCTGTGGCTATGACTGGCATCTTGGTACAAACCTGAACCTGACGTCATGTCATAGAGCCTTATATGTCGCTGCACACCTGTTTGCGAATGCATAGCATACAAGGTTTTCTGTTTATAGCCTTTCGCCTCCTCATTTCCACTTTTTCTTTTATTTTATTTTTATAGAATTTGCATTCTTACATATTATATATATATATATATATATTGATCAGTTTCCACATCGGGTATTCAACCAATCTCTTAATTCACTACTGTTCATTGATGCTGCCATTGCTGATATTTGCTTCCTACCTCTTTGAATAATCAACTCATCAAAGTAACCCTAGCGCCTGCCCTATTGTATCAATCTTAATCTCACTCCCTTTTGTCTATTATTTTTTGAATCTCTATATCATTGATTGAGAGAGATGCAGTTTACTCAATTTCAATCATACATTTTACCTCAGTCCATTGATCCATTTCATAAAAAATCATAAACTTAAACTATTCGAATCTTTATCAGAATGAATCTCATTCCCATTTATAAGATGCCCTATCGTCGAAAAGCAAGAGAAGAAACTTAGATAGATTGAGTCCATCGTCATGTTAAGATTTCAGTTCAAGAACATAATAGCACATGTTCTTACTTTATATGACATTATTTTATTGAATCAAAATATCATTATGATAGTGTACTTTTTACATTTAAAATAAAATCTTAGAATAAAACTTTAAGTGTAACTGTTTTACTATGCTCTTTTTTTTGTTCTTTCATCACTAGAGACTAGAGAGAGAAATTGAATAATGAAATGGTCCGTGGCATATTGAAAATTTTTAGACAATAATCGCTTGATTTAATTCACATAGAGAATTGAGAACTTATTCTCAACAACCAGTAAAAATCTGCATAAATCCTTGCTTAAAATGCTTTCTCTTAAAAAAATATATTTTGGTGTGTTAATAATAATTTCCTAACGATAATTCATAACATAAATGTTCTACCTAGTAAAGCGACCTCTGTACTCTGCACGCGAAGGGTAATGTTTGCATTCACTGCATGGCAGTTGGGAGTATTTTACTTTCGAGTGGCACTATTTATGCATATGGAGATCAATAGCTTGTTCCACACAAACTGTACACAACAGTACCAGACTCATTAAATTTGTTTTCGAAACTACGCCACGAAATCAAGTGCTTGTCTTCATACAATATATGAGTCTGAATCCCAAACTTAGACAATAATCAACGATTCAAATCATACAGTCTAAGAATATAAGCATCCTAGATTTTAAGATAGTGTGGCGAAAGGAATGAGATCTTCTCAAATGAGAAAAAGGATTTAATGACAAAACAAATGAATGAGGAGTCGTATGAGGTGAAAATTTCATATACAGTTATGTAGATTGACACAGTAAAGATGACTTGTTTGTCAAAGCTGCTAGTGTATACTTAATCTTTGAAAATCACTGCATATATATACTTGATATTGGCCATAATGTACAAGAATATTATGTAGTCTTAGTAAGAGGGGAAGGTGAATAAATAATTTGAAGTCACCTTTTTTTTTTTTTTTCCTGTCAAAATTTGAAATCACTTTCTAGAAATAAATAAAAATTAGCCGAAATCTTTACATTTGGTGCATCCAATTTGATAACTGTCCTTAATTTAATTAATTTTTTTTAAAAAAAGAAGAAGAACTAGTTAATGGTTTCATCAAGACAATTTACCTTTTTCGAGAGCCGAGAAAATAAGTGTAGTTAATTTGGTGCATACAATTTGATTGATAGGTAAATAACAAACTCACACACACTGAGAAACCACCACAAAACAAAAACACACAATGCTGGGATGTCTGGAATGGAATGCATTACCACATTGTACGTACGTCCTTGCAAACTATTTGATACAGAAAAATAATGCAGTAGTACAAACAAGTACGTTCACTTCTCTCTCTCTCTCTCTAAACCCTAAACCCTAAACCCTAAACCTCTACTTGTATACATATACATATATATATATATATATTTGTAGATGGTGGTGTGGCAGCAGGAGAGATGAGTAAGGTGGTCCAGTCAAGAGGGTCTATCACTAGCGTTAGGGTTGAACAGTGGTGGACATTCATCGTCCCTCTCAACCTTGCATGCAAATAAACCTGGGTTCCTCCTAGGTTTCCTTTCACAATAATGCACTCCCCAAAATCGTGACACGCATCGTCATATTCACTCTTCTTCTGTACCTCGTCAACTGTATATGATCGAATCTTCAGTGGGATGAAAACGTTGATGAGTCACCATCAAAGCAGCCTATATACCAACCTAGCATTCTGTTTTTACTGTGTATTTATCTACCTCCAGAAAGAATGTTGACTGACATATTTACCCATCATTTTTATTTGGTTTCTCTCTTCGGCGGACCAGCAAGAGGGAAAACTTCACTTTTTAAAGGCAAACAAGGTCCCTAAGAGTGATTTTGACTGCATGCGGACCATCTGAGTGACCATTTGAATTATTGGAGTGACAGTTCATGAGGACCTTCTTTAAACCCTCTAGAGAGGAGAGGAGAGGTCTTCTCGTCCTTCAGCTTCCATGGCTATGTGTCTCACCAGCTCAATTAGTTCTTCACCATCAAGACTTAGGGTGGGCGCGGTGCGGTTCAATACGGTTTTGAGTGAAACCACAACCGAAATTGAAACTTTTTGTGGTGTTGTTTGGTGCGGTTTTGAAGTCAAAACGAAATGAAATCAAACTGTTTGATTCTGTTCAATGCGATTTTAAACGATTTTGGTTCAAGTTTTTGAAGAAAAAAATTACAATTTTAAATTTACACCTATTTACACTAATACGATCTCATTTTCCTCATACATTAAGCAAGAAACCTGCAGCAAAAGAGTTCGCCAAAAACAAAAAATTACTATAGTAAAGGAAGTTAGAGATAGAGAGATTTGTCTGACCATATGCAACAGTAGCACCAATCTACAACACACAAGCATTAAAGAAAGTATATATGTATGCGTCTTTCATATTGCACAATTTTTTCTTTAATTTTATTGGTTAACTGAATTAAATTACCGTATTAAAATAAGGTTTTCGAACATATTTTGAGTGTCACTTGTTGCTAAATAAATAACTTTCCGCACATATTTTGAGTGCCACTTAAAGATGTGACCATTTGGAAATTATTTAAAAAATTAAAGGAAGGATTATTGGAAGAGGTAAGAAGGGTGTGTGCTAAAAGAGTGTTTGAGGTGAATAGAATGTGAAGAATTGAAATAAAATAAGGTGAAATAGTATGGAATGATGAAAAAGATGTGAGAAATGTCTTAGGTATTTATATGAAACAAAATTAGAAGTTTAATTTTTTTTTTATTTCATCAAAAAAAAAAAAAAATTGCAGCTGGGCCCAACTGAAAAGGCTGGCTGGCTAAAGATGGCCAACCCGCTGGCTATACGATTGGAATTTGGCCTGGTGGGTCCCAATATTTTGGGCCCAAACCTCAATTGGAGATGGGTTCCGTGTCAAAAAAGTATATCCTTTGGTCTATGACCTTATGGCCGACCCAATTGGAGATGGCCTAAGATGGCCTAAGAACCAGAGGAATCAGACCAAATCGCTTTTAATATAAATTATTATTTTGTTTTTTTTCTTTAAAGAAGTCATTTTTCCAAGAACATGAGCCCAATACTTATAATTTCTGAAAGACCGTGGAGCAATTAACTATATATATATATATTGTGTACATTTTAATTTATTTTAGGATATATACTTTGTTGATTTGAGGTTTTCCATCTTTTGATTAAATTTTATATATACACTTTCTATATTCCGATAAAAAATCTTGTAGATCTAGTAGTGAGAACTCAAATTTACTTGAATTTATGGTTGAAATATGTATTTGGTATTGGAAGTAGACAATTTGAAAAACTATATATATAATTTTGGTTAGAACTATAAACTGGCATGAAATGAACCAGAATCAATGTAAA